TCATGGTCTAAAAATTGCTTGAATTACTATAACAAGATTCAACAGGTATGCGATAAAATTGTATGATCGTATATTGTTAACTCTCACATAGAGTAATATGTGTATGGTCTTATATTGTTAACTCTCACATAGAGTAATACAAGAGTATGATCGTATATTGTTAACTCTCACATAGAGTAATATAAGTGTATGGTCTTATATTGTTAACTCTCACATAGAGTAATACAAGTGTATGATCGTATATTGTTAACTCTCACATAGAGTAATACAAGTGTATGATCGTATATTGTTAACTCTCACATAGAGTACAGTGTAATACAAGTGTATGATCGTATATTGTTAACTCTCACATAGAGTACAGTGTAATACAAGTGTATGATCGTATATTGTTAACTCTCACATAGAGTACAGTGTAATACAAGTGTATGATCGTATATTGTTAACTCTCACATAGAGTAATATAAGTGTATGGTCTTATATTGCTAACATGCAAAAGAGTAATACAAATGTATGGCCCTATCGTACACGCCTTTAATAAAGTTACATTGTATAAACTTGTGCATACCCTTATATTGTAAACATCATGTATGTCTGGATTCCTGACTTTGTCAGTATCAATACAGTGTTATTTTTGCGTTATTATCCATAATCTCTAAATCATATGTCTTTTTGAGCTTATCATTAGTGGTGTATAATGCAACGCTTTTACATTCCAAAAAACATAAATTTAACAGATTGAAGGGTTGGACGGTAACGATCTCCCTACTTTGTCATACGCATAGTGGAGCGATCCAGAACCACAGTCTCTCAATGACAGCTTCATACCAGTGTGACGAAGGTTTCTAACTGCTCCATCATAGCAGACTGAGGTTTAGGGAAATATGTATCCTACGTCTCTAGTTTGTGACAGTTGTTTCGTATTGCTTCTGTTTACCACAATGAAAGAGAGCTGGAGTACTCCAGAGCTCCTGTTATAACTAGCTGTAACCGTTGCTATTAGTGTTAATGGGTACAGAAATGTCGTACCCGCTCAATTCATCAGATTCAATAATAATGGTGACAAATCATTGACCATTAGCTACACACATCAGTACTTACATTAGAGTGTTAAAATATCGATAAAATTAGCCCCACAAGCTAGCTCAACTTGTCACTTCCCCGACCAGCACTGCCTAGTACCACAGCGCTATGTCGGTTTATGAGCTAAACATAGAGTAACATAGAGCCTCGAACTCCGTCTTATTTTCCAAGGCCCCTGCTGATCCAGTATTTACAGGGCTTCAAAACCGCATTCCAGGACCGAGAAGAAGAAAGCATGCCTAGCTTAACTGAAGATAACATACACTGTTATTGGTATGGACAATATCCAGAAATGGTTCTTAATATATGGTTGACTATGGATTCCAATTCGTTGTCATGGTAACGGATTAAAGGACCCAATTCCTAATTTAAGCAGATGTCAACAGTAAACATTTACACATTTACAAGGCTCCAAATTTAGTAGAACATGTATTTGTTGTATCAATGGTGTGTGTGAACCGCTTTGAGACGACCTAAGAACTAGGTTGTGATAAAGCGGTATATAAGAACCTCAAATTATTATTATTATTACTATTATGTCAAGAATGTGTGAAAATAGTAAAACTTCGATATAATGTCTCTTGTTTGTTTACAATGAAAACAAACCGACCAGTTGCTTTAAAACCTCGTATATCACCCTTTTTTTATACACAGTAAAACCTCGATATATCACCCTTTTTCATATACAGTAAAACTTCGATATATCATCCTTTTTCATATACAGTAAAACCTCGATATATCACCCTTTTTCATACACAGTAAAACTTCGATATATCACCCTTTTTCATACACAGAAAAACCTCGATATATCACCCTTTTTATACACAGTAAAACTTCGATATATCATCCTTTTTCATATACAGTAAAACCTCGTATATCACCCTTTTTTTATACACAGAAAAACCTCGATATATCACCCTTTTTCATAGACAGTAAACCTCGCTATATCACCCTTTTTCATACACAGTAAAACTTCGATATATCATCCTTTTTATACACAGTAAAACCTTGAAATATCACCCTTTTTCATATACAGTAAAACCTCGATATATCACCCTTTTCATAGACAGTAAAACCTCGATATATCACCCTTTTTATACACAGTAAAACCTTGAAATATCATCCTTTTTATACACAGTAAAACCTCGATACAATACCCTTTTTCATACACAGTAATACTTCGATATAATACCCTTCGTTTAGGTAGAGTAAAACCTCCATATCATTCCCTTCAATAATACACATTAAAACCTAAATAAGATGTCCATTGATCACATACATTAAAACCTCGATATAATTCCCTTTTATATACAGTCAATCGTTTATATAATGCCCTAAAATATTACATCGATATAATGTCCCTGGTATATTGCCATTCAAACCTTGATATAGTGCCCATTGTTTGTACACATTAAAACCTTCATATAATGTCCCTAGGTTATGTACATTGAAACCTCGATATGATGCCCCTTCTTTTTATATAGCAAAACCTCGCTTTCCGTAAAAAAACCACCATTGCGATGTCCCTCTTTTTCTTTTCTTTTTTCATTTTGTTATTCCTGTATACACCTTCCTGAATTTCGATCCAAACCCCTTTATAATGCCCAAACTAAGTTGGATATATGATGGCAGTAAAACGATTTTTTATTGTTAAGTGGAAATATTGCAGGCAAAGACGTACCTATAAAACGTCAAACGGATTTTTTAAATCAATGCTATTATTTTAACACATCTTATAAATTATTCTATCCGCCTGTATGCTTTGAGCAGATTGCCATACATTTCCAATCTGTTCCCTGTTATATCCTATCAAATTGTTACGGCCAATAAGAATGATCAATGCATAGTCATGAACGTAACAGGATTTCGTGACGACCTCAACAAAACATTTCCCCAGTCTGTGTTGATACGTTAGCTTTTACGTCGACAATGCTATATTTAGAAGGGGTTATGCAAATGCTTTGATGTTGGCGCACTTTTGTGACGTTATTAAACATATGTGCTGACATGTTAAGGAATTAATACAAATTACTTTTTATTTCATCGAAAAAATACATATCACACCTAGCTTGATAAAATTATCCGTCTTTTTTTCCACATAATATTATTTCATGCTTCCATGCACCAGTGACACCCATTTGAATTCGTCTCTGGATGTAGTTAGTCAAGTGACGTTATACGGGTCAGTTAAACATGTACTATTCTAAAATATTTGGCCTCGATTGGAAGCTTGTTCACTTTTGGCGAGGCAGGGTTATGTTTCCTCGAATTTTTACAGAATAACAGCAATAAAGTAACGACTTTAATTATTTTGTTCAAATATGGATTATTTTTTCACATAAGGCTTACATCGATTCTATAACACACTTATATCACTAATGCTAGTATCCATTTGCCTTCAGGATGTGACAGAGAACCTTTAAACCTGAGGGGTGATTTGTTCGGTTTTCTTACCCTAGTCTATGCCGATGGTTAGACCGTCAAACAACCACCCTAAAGGTTGAAAGAAGCCTCTGTTACATTCTCGTGCTCCCTATGGTTGGTATTCTCCCATCATTCCAATATCGTTTGTTATCCTTATTTGCACACGACCTCTCCCATCAAGTGTTTTTATGACGTCAGATCTTATTGTTCCTGTCATGTCATAGTATTGTTTCTTTCTGCGTGCAATCTGTCATACCCTAAGGGGTGACAGTGAAATCATATCCTGGGGGTTGATATAAAAATCTTGACCATGTAAAACGGAAACAATTCAGTCAAAGGTTAAGTGCTTGTAACTTGTACATAGCGTGTTCATATAGAGTACTTATAACATATTTGGTATACATACGCAAGCATTAGAAATGAAACCATGTTTCGCTTTTAGATTTGCGAAATATTTGTATGTGTTTTTAAATGTTTCTTTTAACAATGTCATTTCCAATTGCAATGAACATTGACAACAGGCGGTGATATAACGCACCTTTTAATTATATTGTCAGTTGCAACTGGTGTTTCATAAATTTGTCATATAACGTTATTTAACAACGCCACATAACCTTGTCAATTTACGCCATTTAACAATATTTAAGTAAAACATTAACGTTGCTATTTGATAGCATTGAACATTGCTATATAAAATAATTTGTCAATTATCATTTCATTAAGCATCAAAACCATTTCACCTTTTCACCTTTGTCAATTATTATTTTCATTAAGCATTATTTAACATTGCCATTTTACTTTGTAACCATTGCCAACTGTCTTTCATTAAGCACCATTGTATAACATTGCAATTTCACTTTTCACTATTGTCAATTAACTTTTTCATTAAAAACCATTCAGCATTGCCATTTAACTTTTTTTACCATTGTTAATTATCATTTTCATTCAGCACTACTTAACATAACCATTTCCTTTTTTTAACCATTGTCAATTATAATTTTCACTAAGCACCATTTAACATTGACATTTAAGCCTTATTTAGCATTGTTATTTGAAATTGCAATAAAGTGCACGACATTGCTTAACTTTAATTGCACATTGCCACTTTCATTTATTAACTTATGAACTAGCAGCCATTTATAATTGCCGTCATTACACATCCGAACTGTGTTGGCTCGGTTTGCATTGATACGATGTTAAGCTATATGTATGTATGAATGTGTATCATATGTAATTGTTTTTAACGAAAAGTAGTAGCCGCTTCTACTCATCTCGAGTATTTTTTTAAAGAACAAAACCTAAACGTAAAACCATTTGCATGAATCATTCTAAAAGAGACAATGTTTCATGCAACGCTGGAGTAATGTCCGTTATGCTATGGGAACATTGGAAACGCTGATGTATTTTGGTAGTGCATGGTCTTCCTGATACAGGATGTGCATGCTTAGATACGCTTTGAAATCAGAAAATAAGAAAATACGAGAAAATTTGTCAATAGCAAAATATTTTATGCAAAAATAATTATGACAACCGATACATATACAAAATATTTTAACGTTGCATCGATTTTCCAAAGCTCCTTACGGAACCAGTCAAGCCGAAAGACGTTTAGCATGTGATTGAATGCGTTCCGAGAGAGTTACATTCGGAATCACAACAGTAAGACACTTAAAATAACAACAGATAAGCATTACTTACCAAAACTTATTTTCGATTCTGATTTGAACATTTTTAAAGTACATGAAACCTGCGTGTCAATGATACGAAAATAGAATAGAAATAACAATTAAGACGTCAACATTTAAGCAGAATCATAGTAGTACATCACCTATGTATCGACATGCGTCCATTAAGCACGTAGGTGTAGCATATATATCCAGAAGGGTTATTTTTAATGGTCTCTCTGTTCAGCACGCAGAAATGTTGTATCCCAAGGAAGTTTATATTTAGTTAAATTAAGCACACATTGTTGGAATATCCGAGAGAGTCTATTTTTGGCTACCTTTTGGCGTTCGGCCTATAGTACATTTTTGTACAAACTCACCACACAACTTTTTCAATGATTTTCGTACTTGACAGTTTACAATACCATACACTATAGGGTTTGTTGCATTTCCAATGAAAAACAAATATCTTAATACCATGTTTTTAGTAATTCCGAAAATATCCAGCCAAAACGGTAACCATGTTATAAGATATATCACTGTACATAGAAACAACATTTTTGCAGTTTTTCTGTGATTCCGTCTCCGGATTTTGTCCCCGGAATCTACTTTGCTACTTGGGCGTATTCGTTTGAACACATCGTGGAATTTGTACGTGTTTCCTGCAACGTTTAGTTTTGTTTTCTGCACTGATGTCACAACGTCGGCAGTCACTTCCGGTCCCTGTGAAGATGCATTCGTTACTACTGCTGTTTCATCAGCATGAATGTGAACTTTAGAATATTCCCAATCAATCTTATTCTTATGCGGTTCACTGTATGACTGACTGGCTTCTGAAGTCAACGAAAACTCTTTGGGTATTCCAGTCATCCGTTTTCGGAGTTTAGTTTTTTTCCAGAGAACCGTATACACAATGAGATAGAGAACAACAATAAATAAGAATGTGAGCAAAAAGATGACCATAAGTCCACCTTGGTATAATGTCACAAGTGTCTCACCCAAAATGGCGTACGTAAAATGACAGAATTTACTATGTGTGACGCTATGGTCGTAGGCACAACTGACGTTAGTTAGTTCCGCGTCGGACACAACAGCGAATATTCCTACAGACGGCGCTCCAAATAACATGCTGCAAAACGCAATGAATATCATTCCTCTGTTGACGTTTTGCACCGACATGCGAAGGGTGAGCCGACATACTGCAATGTATCGCTCAACTGCTATAGCTACGAGAGTTAGGTTGGACGCAACGATCACAAAATGACGTAAAAACTCGAAAGTTCGACAGACAACGTCATTCCTTACCATGTGTAGCTCGTAAACCATGGTATAGGGCATGATAAATGAGCAGACGAGAAGGTCAATGATAGCCAGTACCTTTATAAAGGTGTTAGCCGTGGTGTGGTCATTCCGATGGAAGTACACAATAAGAATTGGAATGTTTCCCAATGTGCCGATAACTGAGAACAGCGTTAAATACACGGCCAGTGTAATGTACTCCAAAGTCCAGGGTATACTTGAACTCGTGGCACCAAAAAGTTGGAGAGTTTCTAAAGCTGACTGGTTAGCCGCCACTGTCTTGTTCTCCATCGCCATGTTTGGGGCCAAGTCAGTGAAATACCCCATCAAGGGCAGACTAACTACCTCCCGCGTACACTTTACGTCAGCCAACATCAAATATATGTTACGCGACACATTCTTCTTATGAAATGCGTTACATTTTAAGTATAACAAACTATGAAGTAGTCTGTACTTCACCTCTGTACTACATCACAGCGTGCCGTTTAATCGCCGGAAGTGACCGGTTGAAACAACTTAGCCTCTCTGGGTTGCACTTCGCGGGCTACCGTATGTTATAGTAAAGTTATTTATGCGTGCGCATAAACAGACGTGTGAGTGAAAACCGATTCTATAAGCAATACGAGCCAGCATATGACATACGTCCAGACTTCACCGCAGTCTGTAGGTGTATGGCATCAGACGTGCAAGCAGACAGTGATATTGGCAGCTCGGCCAATCACTGCCTTGCTTCGATTTGCCGTACTAGGAATTGCAGCCACGCTTAAAAATACCCGTGCAGTTAGATTTTATAGTCACAGCAAATACAAAGAAATGAGTACCGATAGTTATCTATGGGACAATTATCGTAAAAGATATGAGAATTTGAATAGCTAGGGTTGACTATCTGATCGGCTTTTAAGGTCTGAAGGTGCTTGTGCCCGGCTATTTCAGAGGACTCTAAGAACCATATGGTTTTTAAAACATAGTATATGTACCATTCTCTATCGGTAGAGATCAATGCATGTCGACGTAGCCTGTTTTGTCTGGTCCTTGATGGGCCTAAGAATTATAACGAGGTGTAAAAAGGGCCCAGATAACCTCGTTGTCTCTTAGATCGAGGATACCTTTTAGCAACGAAAACTGCTGTAGGATCTAACAACAGCTGTGTAGCTACATGCATTTAAGTGGATTGTCAATAGCGTTAGTCTATCGGGGACAATACTGCTTTTAGTGGACGTCGGTTTGATTGTTTTGATAACGAAACATAGCTGGATATTAGTTGTGGTATTGTGTTTTATTTGTCAGATAGTTATATTGAGATTAACCGATTATCTGTAAAAAAAATAATCAACACAATAATTGCACACACGTTATATTAAAATCATGTTAGTTCGCGTAATACTCAGTATGGCTATCTTTGGGCTTAAAATGCTTTTAATGGATGTTAATATCTTACCCGGCTTTATCATTTCCTACACAAGTACATTTTTGTCTTTTTTATCGATGGCAGCCTGATTGCCTTTAACAAATTATAATTACAATGATGTTAAATGAAAGATTACAAAACATTGTTTAAACTACTTTTTATAACGGCACTCTATCGCCAACGCGATAAATTAGTTCCGGGGTCGTTGCAGATTTGTATCTGTATTTTTTTTATGGGGAAATTAAACCACTAAAGCTTGAGTATTTAGTGTAAGAACAATAGTTTTTAACTATGAATTAATATGTGTACAGACGTTTCAGGAATGTGACACGTATCACAGTGTAGGCGACAGAGCAAGTGCGACTTCCTTTACTTTAAATGTGCACGTGCGTATAACAACTGCGGGCCTAACATATACGGTAAATCTCGTTACAGTACCATAATTTGGTCAAGTAAATTTTGACATAATAAAGTGATTTGACAATATATCGAGGGACACATAAACAAGAAACCCCGCGATATGGTGGCGAAGGGGGCAGCTAAAACGAGGGGCATTATATCGAGGGTGCTCTGCTGGCAATGTCTCATTAGTGCAATTCAATTAATGTTTCTTTATTGCAACTACCCCTGTTATTGGCGTTACTTGGATTTGATTTCGAATTATGGTTTTGTTATCACTTTGATATTCTTTTTCTTTTAGTTGAAATACTAACATTATTTAAACTACTGAGCGGTTTTTTTTTATAAATAATTCTTACTATTCTGATTTTTACCCAGTCCGTCAAACATGTAGATCATCAAGTGATACCAATTCCGTCTTTGCGTATTGCAGAGTTATCTTATCTTGGGAGCAGGTATCGATTGTCACGTCACTTGTTTGTGAGAGTAACGGCATCAATTTTTGAGAAAACGACGTAATTTTCTCGAAAAAACCAATGACGTAACAATCAATACCGGCTCCCAAGAGAAGATACCTCTGCAATACGCAAAGACGGAATAACACTGATACTAATAATAGGAGGTTCTTGTATACGGCTTTATAACAACCTAGTTGGTAGGTCGTCTCAAGGCGGTTCTGAAATGCACCGATTCCGACAAACAAGAAGTTGAATAGGTCTTACCGTTTTGATATAAACAGTGCACCTTGGTATGCAAACGTTGTTTTTTTCATTTGAATTTTCTTTTTCAAGCATTTTCTTTAGAATAACAATACATTAAGATGCCATATACTTTCAATTTCTCACATACACGTACACCTACTCGTGGTCCAGCATAACACTAACAGTCTTCACCATTATTTACACTCAACATCATAACAGTCATGGCTCTCCTTTTAATTGTTTCAATAATGGCGAAGAAATTTATAGATAAAAGGGAAGAACACACTGTATCATGTACTCATCAGTAATCCTTGTAGACTACTCCTAAACAAATATCCTTATAGACGTTTGGAGTACATTTAACAGAGATCTGAAACGATGAACCGTTAGGCTTCGTGCACGAAGACAAAAGTGAGAACCCACTAAGGCAAAAAATAGCCTATTCCCGGAAGTAAACCCCCTCCCTAACTTCTTCGAACCGAGTACTATCGATAGCAAATCTTCTGCAGTAACCTAAATATTTCTCTGTACTGGTTTTGTTTTGTTTGTGTTTTACGTTCTATTTACAGCTATGGTAATTTAAGGACGTGACAGGTGTTGGTGGTGGAGGAAATCCGGAGTTCCCGGAGGAAAACCACCGACTTACGGACAATATTTGGCGACTGCCCCACGTATATGTAGGCCTCGAAACCGCGACTCGGTGGTAGAGGGCTGGTGGTAGCAGATTGACAGACGCCTTAACCACTTGGCCACCGTGGCTCCTGTCTGCAAAAATAATATAAAAAATACCATACTTCATACTATTAAATACTGTATCAAAGAAATGCTATTCCGTAATTTCGTTTATATCCATCTGCAAATGTAGATTTGTATACTGCTGTCAGTAGAAAGGTGACAAGCACTGCTGCGAGACACAAATACAAAAATTTCAAAAAAATACTTTTATTCCATTTGGAACTAACTAGCCGCCAAGTCTATCTCAAAATTTTGTTTACATAAGGATGTTACTTACGAAACACACATTCCTGTCGTATATATTTGATTAAGGTGTCAGGACTAGGGAGAATAGGGCTTCATTAGGATGTTATCGGAGCTGTGTTTGGTCCGTTTAAATTCCATAAAATATTGATAATTGTAAATGCTATTGAGTTTTCTATGTAATAGATAGCTTTGTTGTTTGTGTGAATGTAGCTATTATGATGTTGCAACTTGCCATGTTATTTGTGTATGGGTGCTGCGAGAAAAATGAACCAGCTTTTATCTCGTATTTATACTCATTAAGTTATCTGGCAATGTTCTTATGCCACATCAATTCATTACACTTCGGCGTCCATCTGAATTATTGTTTCACAATCTGCAATGGATATCGTCACTTTTTGTCATCAAAAAAAGTGTGTCTGTTTGTTCAATCGGGGTTTCACTTCGTCGCAACAGCCACGGTCATATGAGAATGGATGCTTAGGTAGACACCTCCTGAAGCAGAAAGTAGATAGAACAGAAAGAAGATAGGAAAGATAGCAAACGAAAAGGATCCCAAGTGTTGCATCGGAGGCCGCATCTCACTTTAAGTCTCTTCCAATTCCCATTCGTGGAAGATACGGAAGAAAAACCCCGATTCTACAGAGGCGCCACATTAGTCGCCTTTTACGATACACTTGCAGTGGGATACAGCAGGTCTGTTCTCGATTTCTTCAATGTCCCCTTAAAAAAAAGACAAGGAAGAAACCACATCCGATTCTGCAGGGTGCCCAGCATTAGTCGCCTCTTACGATCATGCAGTGGGAAACAGCAGGCCTTATCTTTCCCCGAACCTGCATGGGTTTCTGAAAAAGGTCACAATCCATAACTAACTATATACCAAGCATAACAATAATAATCTCCTGTGACCGTCTATTTCCATCAACGATACGAGGTGTCAAATATTGATTCTCAGGAGTTTTGCTGTCTTGACAAATCACCCTGCAAGCGAATTAGAAATTTCCCTCGGGGAAACGTTCCAGTGGATCAGGTGTAAACTGGTGATGGTATATGATAGAGTGTATATCAGGCCGTATCACCAGAAATATATATACTTTATTAAATCTCCCTAACGTACATAATATCATATAAAATAATGAATGCCTATATATTATAGAATTTTTTATTTCCCGAATATTTCTCTCCAACTGCAGCACTTTTATACAGTTTTACATTTATATATAGCACTGGATAAGACGCGGACAATCGATTCATGGAAGGCTTTTCTGAAACAAACAATATCTATACAATTATTTTAAGCCCGTTTTCATGTACTTTATAACCAACCTACAGTCTTTCGTCTAATCGGTGGAACGTTGTATCATGAAAAACAACATAACTTAATATCGCAAAACACAATTACAAATAAAAACAAAACGACTGGTTTGAAGAGTTCCCATGTTTATAATAATTTGGTCATTCTCGCATAAGCAGTTTTTGTATATTTTGCTTTGTTCGCTAAGTTTTCGTCTAAAACTATGACTACTTTTTTAGTTTTATTTTTTAGTTTTATTTATTCACTCCGACACACTTACGTGTGTAACAAGAGGTCACATACATATAGTAAGTATGATACATGGCGTGTGATGTACACAATTACAACATTGTATATAGCATAGATACATATAGAAGTACACAAATAGTACAGAAATTAAGTTAATATTTTTTCAAGCTTTTCTATGAATTTACAAACTTTTGTGTAATTTTTTACATTAAATATATTAAACAATCCTTGCATTTTTATTTGACTTGGATAAGTGAAATAATATTTTGGTATATATTTCTCTCTTATACATTTAACTAAAACACTTTCACATATAAATAAGTAATGAAATTCATCTCCAATGTACAAATTACATAATAATTTTTACGAAGGGTTGCTATGCAAAGTGCTCCACATAATCTACTTTGTTTTTGTTGCTGTTATTTTACGTTCTATTAACAGCTATGGTCATTAAAGGACATTCCAGGTTGTGCGTGTGGAGGAAAGTCGGAGTGCCTGGAGAAATGCGACCGACCTGCGACCAGCACCTGGTGTCTGCCCAATGTAGGCCTCAAACCGGCAACCCAGCGGTGGCGGGATAGTTATTGTAGACTGTCAGCTCTTTTAAACACTTTACATAATCTAC